CTGCTGAACATTTAGAACACTTTTAAAGGAAAACAAACGATATGACCAAATGTAAGGTATTTCTGTTGTACTTTTCAAATTATGAACAACTCTCTTGACTCATATTAAAGGCAGTTATGTGATCACAGTGCCAAAAGTTCAGTACTATATGTTTAATAAAGCACTGGGCTTCACCAAGAGGTTAGCTTTTAGTGCATAACCATACAAAGAAGTTACTTCTCTCATTTATTGTAACAGTTTAAGAATCAATAAACAGTAGTCTCAAAGGCAGCCTTAAGCTGAGGAAAGAAACAATAAATAGAAATTAAAAACTAGTTAACTGAACACTTTTCTATTTTGGCAAAATTGAATTCAGCCTATGTTTTGGAGCACTGTTACGCCCTTAACAGTTTACACTGATCAGATCACTGTCACTGTGTAAGTGACACAACCTTCTAAAATTCAGCAGCTTTGTTAGGTAAATCTCAAATGTGGCTTTTTCTTCTTTGTGCCTTGTTTTAAAAGTTCATTTGCATCCATTTCCTCTGTATTTCAAACATTTTTTTAATTTGATATTGCAGGAGAAATGGTACGTAACAATTTTGCTTAACATTGAAGACACTTCTGTTTTCTGAAGTTGCTTTTAGTTTTAAAACCACAGAGTTTCCATCATGAATCTTCACCTTTATCTTTTCATAACATGATACTTGTAGCTGATTTGGGAAAGTAAATTTTTTGTATATTTGAGAAAACTAGGATGAAAGATAATGTTCTGATTTCAAAGGTTTCTTTTTTTGAAAGAATAATTTGACTGGATAATGGAAGACTTAAGTCATATACATGTAGAAAGAGATGAAGTTAAGGTTATCTGTACAACCTTTCATTGTAATTTCATGGCCTTTTGTGCTTAACCATGTATCATAAAGACTTAGGATTTTTTTTTTTTTTGTTTCTAATTAAAAAAAGCCAGCTATCAGTCTTCCTAAATAAGCATATAAGTCATCACTATTTAACTGATGTCATTTTTTTCTTCAGTGTACCATGGATACAGTCCTATGATGGAATGCCCACAAGGCTACAAGAGAATCAATGCTACATTTTGTCAAGGTATGATTGTGCTCACAATTGGTTGTGTTTGTTATGAGTACCAGTTTTCTGTGACAGATTCTTTGGTATTTGTGATGTAGGTGAATGAAACGAGTCCATTGATTTGTATTTGTGAAAAAATGTTGAGACTTTTTTTAATTATTTCCAAATACTGGCAATTCCATAGTGTGGGTTTTGGCTCTGAGGCAAAAAAACTTTAAAAACTTTTATGTATACTCTTGTTTTCATTGATGATGTATAAAGATGACTTCATAAGGATTCATTTACTTCGTTTTTCAGTAGAAGTACATTGATCTGTGTGTTCTTAGGCTAAACAGTAAACCTGCAGGTTTACTCAGTTAAGTCAGATGAAACCAGTCATAGAGGATAATTTCTGTAATCATGAAAATACAGACTTATCAGAGAACAATTCATTTAAATTTAAGAGGTTAGGCACAACAGTACTGAGAACAGCCAGATAATGTCACTGGCAAGTGGAAGTGAAAAACCATGTGTACCTGGCTGCCATGTAAAGCAGTGATCCACATACTTCAAGAATGTGCACAGTGCAGATGAGAGTGTTTGGAGTTAGACACTGTGTAAGTTGTATTACTCAAAGATTGTGCCATATATCTTCTGGCTGTAAGCACAGAAGTTATCAAAACATACAGGGTTGTGGGATCAGCATGGTCATGCAGTTACACAGAAAGTCTTGGGGCATTTGGATTCTCTTCACCCACAGCATCTCTGATGAAGCTGAATAGGTGACCATAGACGTATGCTTATTCACACTGTGTAACTTCAATGAGTATCAGTGCAGATGAGAGTGTTTGGAGTTAGACACTGTGTAAGTTGTATTACTCAAAGATTGTGCCATATATCTTCTGGCTGTAAGCACAGAAGTTATCAAAACATACAGGGTTGTGGGATCAGCATGATCATGCAGTTACACAGAAAGTCTTGGGGCATTTGGATTCTCTTCACCCACAGCGTCTCTGATGAAGCTGAATAGATGACCATAGACATCTATTGCTCATTCACACTGTGTAACTTGAATGAGTATTGAACAGAGATGTCAGCTGAGGAAGCAGGAAACAGCTTAATTGCTTGTCTGATTTGTTTGCCACAGCTCAAGTAAACAAAAGAAGAGAACTCTGAGAAGATAGGAGCAATCCTGCAGTGGTGTTCTGGAGAGAGATTTGGGAAGGAAGGGAAGAATGAATTCAAGTGAGGCTGACACTGACCTGTGGTTGGGTTTATTAGTCGTTGTTGACACTGCAAGGGTAAAAGAGGTCCCAACAGATAGTATTGGTGGTAGAGAGGAGAAAATGAAAGAGTAATTGATGTTAAAGGATATATGTGTGTGTTTTGGAGACAGAGTTAATTTTATCTAACTGAAAACTTCTGGTTAGCATATCAATGGAGTAATGTGCAGCAGCCAGCCACAAAGAAATTATTTTACTGTCCAAAATAATACAATTTGTAGAGCACTGAACATAAACATCCCACTGCTTCCACTGCTGAGAGAGATGTGAGCTGCTATCTGAAATTAAAGCCACTTGAACCTATCTGTTGCTCAGTTCTCTACAATAGTGGTTTACCAGCTTTCAGGGTTGGGGCATTTGGAGGATTGTGAGAGAAAACTGGGTTAGATCAAAACAGTAAAAAACTAAATGGAAGAGAGATGCAAATTGCATCTCAAGAGCTTGTTCCCTGATCTGCAGTGAAAAACTAGAGTCCTCTTAATAAATAGAAAGGATGTGCAGATGTTGATGGCAGTTACTGATGAGAACTGCAAAGTGAAAAGGTGGAGTAGATAAATGTAAGGCATAGATGGGTCACCCTTTCTCGCCTCAAATTAAACATGCAAGTGGTGTGTGTATTTCAACAAGATGTTTCCATCCATTTTGAAAGAGATTGTCTCATCAACGTATTAGTTATGAGATTTTTTTCAGAGTCTGTAAAAGAGAGGGTTTCTAACTTTGAGCACAGGAAGTGCCTGGAAGATTCTATGATGCATGAATAACATCATGCATCCCTCTGAACATGGTCCAGGAGAGACAAAAGCTTCTGCTGTCTCCAGTGAGTTCACACAAACCGCACTTTATACACAATGGTTTCCTAGACAGCAGTGGCATTTAAAGGCATGTAGGGTATTCTGTTTTGAGGGCTGGTACCTAGTTGTTGGCAAACCTTATTTCACAGGGCTATGGACAGTCAGAAAATGATCCGGTGCTTGTGAAGGTTGCCAGAAGTAGGCCAGGAAGTTGTTTCACTGAGCAGTGACAGGCTGATAGAGAGGGAGAACATATGTCTCTGGGTAGGAGTAAAAGAGGGGGGCTAAGTCCTGCCATGGTAGTGTGCAGACATTTTTGTAGTACATGACTAATACTGCGAGAAATATGAGGCTTCAATAGTTGTTTTTTTATTTATCATCCATCCCAGAAGAGGGAGCTGTAGAGTCTAAAGATAACTTGTAGTTCATACATAGAAACTTATAACCTAGAGTTTAATCAGACAATGGGAGTCATGTTATCCCACCCGGAAGTAGACTGTTGATGAATTGAGGATGGGGACAATCTCTTAACTTTCTGAAGAGGACAGAGGTGGTGACTGCTGCAGTTTCCCCTTATTGCCTTTTTGAGGCTTGAATGGCTTCTCTGTAATTTGCTAACTCACTCCAAAAAGGAGAGGTACAAATAAGTAAGGAACTGGGAGAAGGAATACCCATGGAACAAAGCCAGGATGAAATTTAGTCTTGCTGAAGTAAGTGACAAGATTACTGTTTTCTTTCAGAGGGTCAGGATTTTGACCTCTGTTTGAGCGGTCACCAGGAAAGCTAGCTTCCTATGTGAAAGCTGCTGGCAGGATGCATTTCAGTCCTGAAATGGTCATTAACATGTGCTTCTCAATGGGTCAGGCAAAAGTGTCCTGTTTGTGTTTATCTGAAGCAGACATGCTTTTCCAGAAGAGAAGAGGACAGGGCTAATGAAGAAAAAGCTGTAGCTATCCATATCAAAAACACAGAGCAAAGCAACAGCAGTGGCTGTTTAAGCTGCTGGTGGCAGAGTATTTGTATTCTTGTAATAATCCTTACAATTAAATTAAAGGGAGTGGCACAGCATGTCCATATGCAAGTATATATTTTTAATTAGATTATTCTTTGCCTAAATAGCGTACATGCTGTGTCCGTGCTCAGAAATGGCCAGCATTGCCAGACTAAGCAGTAATGGGGATAAGTTTCTGACTCCCTGCCTACAGTTAAAATAGATTGCTGTTTTCACCTAAGTATTGTCCAACTTTCACTGCCTTGGAAAACACAGGCCTGAAAGCCTAATTAACCTTTTGTTCTACCTTGTTTGTTGTGGTCAAAAGCCTCGTTAGTTTACAAAGTCTATGTAGTATTAGTGTGATTAATAACCAGATCCGTATTTTTTTTTCCTTTCAAGTGAGTGAACTAATGTGATGAAACATTCTTCTCTCTCATGTGTATGTAGAACAAAGAACCATCTGTGGGAATGCTAATTTGAACCATTTAGTGTAATTGCTATAAAGAAAGCTATTTTTCCCCCTCAGTAATTATCTTTTCAATGAGGTGATTTATTACATGTACACACATGGATGCCCTCAGGCTGTCATTAAAGCCAAAGTACAGCTTATCAGAGTTGCAACTTCTTTGTCAGAATCCATACGCGATGCTAATTTCTGCCTCCTTATTTAGAATTTACTTACTGTTTCCTCCTTCTGCTAATGGTTTTCTTGGAAAACTGCAAAAGAATGAAAAAAACAGCTGGTGAAAAGTTTGGATTCATTTTTCAGGAAATGAACATACTGGCAGTAGAGCACTTAAAAAATCTTAACTTCTTATCTTGAAGAACTGGAAAAAATACCTGAACAGTTGCTGCTTCTCAGTGAAGTAAAAAACTTGTGCATTGAAGCTCTTGAAAAGTACCCATATGCTTAAAATTAAATGTAGATGAGCTTGTAGAAAATAGTACTTGTATATTGATGGCTCAAATTCTGTAATCATGTGTTCTGGGGACTTCAAGCTCTTTTCCCTTGGCTTTATCATGATTTAAAATAAATTCTGAAGGTATATTCTGCACTCCTACATTAGTCCAAATAAACAGTAATAAATTTGTTATCTCAGAGTATTGTATTTTATTGCTTCTAAGTAATAAAAGAGCTTTGATTCATAAGAAATGCTATTTAATGTTACTTAGCTGTTAAGTTAACAACCTTCTTTCAGAGAAGTTATTTTATGATGGTCATATGGAGAAACAAATGTAACTCCAGCAACTGGTCTGGGTTGCTGTTTGGACGTTGATTATGTGTTTGGAAAGCCTGGATCTGCAAACTTACATTCCAGTAAATTCCACGCAGAAGTACAAAACAAGTTGGATTGATTTGTGCTGCTGCTACTCTGTTAGCTCACAGAAATCAGTAGGTCATTTCTTAGAATAACCAACTGGGTTTTCTGTAATTTTTAAAAACATATATTGCAATAGTTTCATAAGCAACCAAATCTTGTTGTTTGTTTCTTTTACCCCTTGTTGTTCTCACTATTTGGGTTATTATTGAAACAATCAACTAATGGAGCCAGTAAAATCTGAATGATATATTTTTCTAAGAACTGAGGAGTTTGAAACAGTATTTTTAGTGGTATTGGTTGGTACAGTTGTAATTGATTTTTATAAAGAGAATTATGATACCTGCCTGTTGACTGAACGTGAATATCATTCAGTCAGATGGCAGTGAAGCCTAGCATATACCTACCAGAATGAGTCAAATTTTCACAAATGAGATATAAATTATATGTTCCTGTCTTAATCTGCAACATGAGATATTGTGCATATTAAAGCACTTACTGCATGAAAACATCTGTCAATGCAGATCTCACTTAATGACTGACCACTAGGTCATTCTACTTAAGAAGTTGCCTGGTACTTTGACAAATTCTGATTAGTATATAATTGAACTAGAAGGCTTGCTTTGATTAAATGGAGCAAAGTGGCTTAAGT